CACTTCTCCTTTTGTTTGCTCTGGCTGCATGTGGCCCATGGATTCTGATATGATGCTTGGTGTTCTGAAACTAGATGCTCACTCACTTTCTTGTTAAATAAATTGCCAGCCAGTGGAGCTTTTGGAGATCACTTCCATTTTACTGAGTTAAAGGACCAATTATTTGGGAATTGTCCTTTTTCCTCTATTATTATATCCTCTTAATATCTTGTGTTTGACTGTTAGGTTGTCTGTAAACCAGTTTATCAGAGGACCGCTCTTCTTGACATCTGCCTGTATTACAGATCCTTTGGCTGTAGTTTATTTTTAATAGTTTCTTTTCAGTGTATTTAGACCAAGGTCCTGCATTTTTGTAGTTGTCTCTAATTTAACAAGCCTGAATCAAATAATTCAGTGATGAGCATTAATTTACACAGGGTTTAAGATATTTCATTCTACATATCTGTAATAAAATTAAATAATACACGAGTTTCATTTTCTGAAAGTCACAAAAACAAACAAACCAACAAACAAAAAAAAAACTTGGATAATATTTGACATCAATTCTATGAAACCAGATTATTAGAAGGTGTTAATACAAGTGGAAATAAAGGCTAAGTTGAAAGATCACAGTGTGTTTGTAAGTACAGGATCTTTAACGCCATATAAAGGTGAAGATAAGCAATCTTGTTTGTAATGCACCATCTATATGACACAAATTATTATATTTGTAATGTTGGTCTAAGTGAAAACGACTCCAGGACAAAGGCTCTGCAAATTGGACAATGTTGAAAGTGCAACATGCAACTGTCACAGACGCAGGCGTGTCGGCATGGCAGCAGCACCCTGCTGACTGCTGCATTCTGACATACCACACAGTTTCTACCCATCTCCTCTGACCAGTTGCTCTCCCCTCGGTCAGGACTTCTCTCCATCTGTTCTCCAGCCGGCTCCCCAGAACCTTCAGCCGACATAAAGAGCGGCTGCAATCACAGAGAGAACCCTGTTAGAGCCCAGACAGGCACGGAGCAGCTGACATAGCTGAACCATGCAGGCACCATTTATTCTGATGCATTGTGTTGTAATTTATACAATTACTTTTTCTTTTCTTCTCAATAAAAACTAGTAAATAAAGCAACAAAACAAATCAGTTCATCCTTCCCTGCTGCTGCTGTTTTCTACAGAAAATATTTAACATAACAGAAAGAAATTCCACAGGGCTGCTGATAAATACATTGGCATGGACCATGTTTGTTTTGAAACCATTCATTTTAATACATTTTAACTGATTATTTTCCTTTCCCACAGTAGTAAAATTTAGTTGTATCAACATCAAACTGACAGACAAATAGAAGCACACAATGAAGAGGCAGTTAAAATGAAACATGATTGCATGACTGACTAAAGGATATATGGATATAAGAATATCATTGGAATACTTTTTAATGAGCTACATTAAGGATGTCCAGCTTTACCAGCAGCAAGTTAAAGGTAAATGGAATCATGCATATTCAAACTGAGGTTCTTGTCCTATTAACTTGCTTATACTGACAGGTAGAAGCTGTTGTCTGAGGATAATGAGTGGGGAGCTAAACATGTTCTCTGTATTGTTTCCATACAATCTGCCATGTTGGTTATTGTTTTATAGGTTCTCTGCTGCTGTGAGTGTGATGCTTTATTGTTCAATATGGGGCCAGAAACGTAAGTAACGCATCTTCTGTTCTATTCATGGCAAAGGGACAACACTACCACACATTATGCATTTCGTTAAATTATCTAGTAAAATAAAACTCTATGCATTACACGTGTGGACAAAATTGTTGGTACCCCTTTAATGACCAAAAATCCAACAATAGTTACTGAAATATCTACAAACTGTAACACTAAAAATTAACCAGCGAAAATCAAATCATATTTTTAAAATGGCTCAGCAGAGACTGTGTCCTGTGGTTAGCATGATAGTTGTCTTTGAGCTTCAAGCATGTTAAAGGTCATCTCTAAGCAGAATGACGGTGTTGTGCAGGCCTGTCATGGTAACAAGTTTTGCTGAATGATAAATTGTCCCAGAAGTTATGATAAAAAATCATACTGTTGTTTTGAGACTATTTACGTAAAGGAAACTGCATAATAATCCAAATACAATAACCAATATCTATAGAACATTTAACAGATTTCTGTAAGACATTTTAAATATTCAAAAATAAATGAAACAACCAAAAATAACAAATATCCATTTGGTATAAAGCGAGAGAGAGACAAGAAAATAAACATTCATGCTAATGGAAATTATCAAGCTCATTTTAATTTAACTGATTTACTGCATATTGCAACTACAGTTCTAAATATTATTCAAATGTTTAAGGACTGAAGCCAATGTTTCTGAGTTTGGCAGAAACATCAATGACAAACTGAAGAGAAGGATAATATAAATAGTAACCAAAGAGCCCAGAAAAACCACTAAAGAAATTAAAGGTGACCTCTAAAGTCAAGGAACACCAGCGTCAGATTGAAACCAGTCACTGAGTCAAAGTGGATACCACTGTTGAAAACAAATCATAAAAAAGTGAGTCTGGAATTTCACAATAGATATTGAGCAGCCACAAAGGAGAAAAACTAGAGCCTTTTTCAGACGTAAAAATGAAGCACACCAAGAAAGCAACGCTGGAACATAGAGGAGGTTCGGTTATGCTCTGGGGCTGCTGTCCTGCATGTGGCACAGGGGGCCTTGAAGTAAGATCAAATATCAAGACAAAGTCAGTCTGGAGAGAAACATGCTGCCTGGAGTCAGGAAGCTTGGTCTCAGTTGCAGGTCATGGGTCTTCCAACAGAATAATCCTAAACATCTGTAGAAGGACCAGCAAACCTGTGGACAGGTGCTGAATTCTCATGGGCAACAACTGTCTGACTGCAGTGATCTCTAAAGGTTTTGCAACAAAATATTAAGTTATAGGTACCATCATTTGTTCAGGCCTGTTTTCATTAGTTTGTTTTTATAGTGATTCTGTTGAACCACATTTTAAAAGCCATGTCTGATTTTCATTGGCTATTGAATGAATGAATGAATGAATGAATGAATGAATGAATGGTTACAATAGTCATAAAGTATATTTATGATTACTTTTATCAATTAATTCAGTGACCACTGTGGGGTACCAGTAATTTTGTCCACATCTGTTTCTTATTTAACTTGTTTCAATGTCAAGATAATCAGGAAAATATCCGTAAAGACAAATTTGACATACTTTTAATTCATGCATGTATCCTTGTGAGGTAAGAAGATACTGGAAGAGAATTCGTGCAGAAAGATTGTATTTCCCATCAGGAACATGAATAACGATGACATTTGCCACCTGGAAGAGAACAGAGCAATTTGTTGTCAGAGGAAATCACAAGTGGTAATTATGCACATGCCAATCTTTACTGAGGCTCTTTTACAGTGTTGCATATTCCATTTTAAATAGTAATGAGAAGAACTAACAATATTGTATAGATTTCTGGCCTCAGTTTCTGCCAGAGTCAGGACAGCCACGAGAGGATAGTGTTTCCTTGGCAATGGCCCAAAATCTGTAATCCTCTGGTCAGCAGGGATGCAGGTGTGACATTCCTTTTCGTCCTCGCTGTGGATACTGGCAGGATGAAGTCAAAGGGGTATCTGTCTTATTATCTCAGTCAATGTGATAAAATAATTGGCATCTAACACACAGAATAAAGTATAATTAAGTTACTCTTCACTGACTTTCCAGAATGTAACTGCACATTATTACTTTTACAAATAAAGCTTGGAATCAAACCATATTACACAACACAAGTCTGACTGTTCCACATTCCCTGGAGGTCACTTTGCACTCAGACTGACTTGTTACTGAGATGAACAAAAAATTGCTGACAATTTTTATAAAATAGTGATAGAAACGGACTAAATTGAATCTAAGACATCCACCGTGAAGCATAATCAATTTAAACACTTTACACAATCTATCATTCAACCCATCCATACACACATTTACTCTGACGGGGATAAGCTATGTTGCAGAAATGAGGCTGCCATTCAATCCATGCCATAGTTCCCCCACCGTCTACGACAAATTACTCAATACTGGGTTCCATAATAAAAACTTTCTCAGATTAGGTTCTTTGCTTGCAAGCTTGCAATAAAAAAGGATACTAGAAAGTTTGATGGTAGTGGAAGCGATGGTGCAGTGCTTCAAGGAAGTGTTGAGGACTTGTAAGCCTCAGGTTTTGTTGATGGGTTCGCAGCACCTCCTGCAGAGCGCCGACTTCACAGCCCCAGAAACAGCTCAGTACACAAGGCTCCAAGCAGCAAGGCTTCAGTAATACACCATCTACAAAGGAGTGCATGCGATGGTTAGGGGAAATGGATCCCTGGACACACTGTACAAATATGAGGAACATCTGAAGGAAGAACACAGAACTGTTGATTTATAGTTTACTGGAGCTTCTCCCTGGTGTAGCTTCTCAGTCATCAGGGCAGGACAACCCTTAGTGCTGATGTAGAAAGCACTGATGTAAGAGCAGGACCTGGTCCTGCTTCTTGAAAACATCTCACCTCTCATCCAAAACACTTCCTCATGGAGAATTACCAGTCTCTTTGCGTGCTGGCACACACGCCAGGCACACACGCCTCTATATAAAGAGTAAAAATTGAACTGGACTCCTCCTGAACTGTTCCGCATCCACACAAATCTTATAAGTGTTCTGATAGGACACTCTGAAGCGATTGCTGGCAGCTCAGATCCAGAAGTCTTCCCGACATTTGGTCCTTCGAGCTGGATCTGAGAGACTGCTTCAGCAATATATTGTCGGAATGGAAAGGAGGGATCCACATGGAGAGTCTGATCGTCCTCACCGACGCAGCCAGCTGCTGTCGTACCTCCAGGACTATGAGGTGGACTACCACGCTAAGAACCACCTCCCTCAAGAACAGGGTCAGACCATCTACTCATCCTGAGATTTTCCAATACATTCATAATATGAAAGGGAAGCATGATCAACTGCGGCTAGATGTGTAACGCCTGACAGAACTGATCTCTAGCTCTCCTGTACCAGCCCCGCAGCATGCTACTTCACGATCTGGACTTTGTGAGGATGGGATGTCAGACCCACTTGAACCCACTAGTAAACTGATGTCAGCCAGAGGTCACAAGGACCCACATCAGCTTGAAAGTACTCCACAGGTGCCAATTAGGGATGAGTCTCAATGTCCACCAGTTAACCAGCATGACCTGATTGAGGAGCTCGCACACAGTAAGCGTTGACAGGCAACGCAAAACACAGTCACCATCATCTTCAGTTGAATCATCCCCTGAATCTCAAGATTTCCTTCAGTTAACAGAAGAGGGTGGGAGGTCCCCTCCACCCCAAGATTCAGCACCACTGGGTTATTTCCAGTCCAACAGAAACAGAAGCAGGTTCTACGATGGACACCAAGTCTGATTGCTCTGTGGTGGAACGCGAGAGGAACTCTACGCTGTGGAACCATGGAGGAAGACCTTCAGGAGCTGAAGGATATGATACAAGGTCACACTTCCATTATCTTACCTGATTACATTTTATCACTCACCACTGACACATGCTGGCCCGGATCCCAGTGCAAGAGAAAACGGATTGGTCTCCTGAACCATTAGTTTCTCAGGAGTCGACACTGTGGACTCTGAATCCTCATGACTCAGAAGAAACACTGGGACATCAAAGCCAAACCTGGTATACAGAATAAACAAATTGCTAGAGTTTAAATCTCACTCCTAATGTTTTTATGATAGATTTTTCTTCTAACATTAGTTGGAAGAAAAGCATTCCAAAACATCAAACAATTTCTGACCTTAAAATATGTACTTTTAACAAACTGCATATCAAACTCCTGGTTTGGTGGGCATACGATAGGCAACAACAATAACACAGAATCACAATGATTAGATAAATTAGTACATATAAAAAGAGATCACTACTATTCAGTTGAGATTCGTTAAAAGTCACATCCTTTTTGAAAAGTTATTTTGACAGTAAAGGTAGCAGACCCCAGGGATAGGAAAATAGACAGAATGTGTCAATATAAGCTTATGATGGTTGGTGTGTGCTGAGCAAACACCAACTTTCCTCTTCACAATACCACAAAAACAAAAAACACATTTCGTGTAATAAAAATGTTTATTTTTAGTTATTCGTCAGAAACTTCATGCTCTTTGGTCTTGATGAGGGCGGTTACTCCTTTGCGCGGTAGAATCTAAAAGACGTCTGCATCACAAGCCGTCTTTGCATTAGCAAAACACAAACATGCTTCTGTTGGACATACGAAAGTAAAAGGCGAAAACCTAACAAGGATATCGTTTATAAAGACGGAAGTTAAGCGAACACTGCTTACCAACCCAGCACGATGGCAGCGGTCACGAGAAAACACAGAGAAACCACAGCGATGTAGAAGAGTGGAGAGTATTCATACAATGTAACGAGAAGAAGCGTGGCCATCTCATCCAATAGATGTACCTGAACGGATCAGCTGAGTCTGACATTTGAAGTAAACAAGGGGTAAGGCAGACATGATGGGACCTTCTTCTTTTCGGATTCGTCAGTAAACAGAGTATTTCTACTCCTTACTGCCACCACCTGGTGTGGAGTTGAATGACGCTTCAATTACATATTGCTGGCAGTGTGATAACGTTACAATCTCTTCTGTCCGATGATCACACACTTGTCTGTTATATTTCCCTACAGTAAATATTGTTTTACTTATTCCTTTCTTTCACCCTTTGGTTTTCATTTCTCCAGTATTCTTCAAATTTCCATCCATCTGATGACACACGACTCAATTGACATCCAGCAGAAAAGTGCAGGACTCTCATATTTTGTCCATATTTTATGAGTTTGAGGGATAGATTCTGTGTGAATTTTGGCAAAAACAGACCTTTTTCTCCACCCAGTGCAGTTATTTGGTCCCTTAAAATCTGCTTAGATTTACATTCTGATTGTAGCGACACAAAAACAAATAAAGCTAAACCGAAATAGGACGAATCCCAACCAAGTTAAACAGTGTTTTACTATACTTGTTAAAAATACATTAAATGTGTGCATATTATTTCTTACACTTTTATCCAGCAATGAGATTCTCAAAAAGGCTTTTGGAAAGTGCATGGTTTGAACGTTTTTCTGACCTGATCAGGATGAATTTATAGAAACAATTCAGGAGAACATGGTGTACTGAACAGACCTACCCAGAAATGTCATGTTGTCTCATTGAACTTCTCAACTTGATGTGGTAAAATGTCTCTCATAAATGGACTTGTTTTATATATCTCAGCAAGGAATTTCTGAAATTCAGATTTTATTCTGTAGATTAAATTATTTTGTAAGATGTATTGGCAGCAGGTGAGGAGTATCTTTGCACTACCACAACATGTTTTTTTTTAAAAGAAGAAAATAATATTGGGTGTATGCTTGTATTGTTCTTTTTAACCTTTATTTTAGTTTATATATCATTAATGTTGTACACTGTGAGTGTGTGAAACCATGTCAAATTCCTTGGTTGTAAGAACGTAAGACTGTATTGTTTTTTCATGACTAAGTTTGCCATAATAGTGAAGTCTGATGCACACAATTTGATTTAAAATAATAATAAAAAAACAATTAATTCCCATGGACATTTGATCAAACTCCTTACCTATAGAAAATGAAGAAGATCCGATAAAGAGGACGTCTTTAATCACATATAAATAAATAGTTCAGATTATAGTAGAATTAATACATTTCATTTAAGTTATTAGGTAATAGAATGGAAAAACAATTTATTGATAATGATTGCAAGTCTGTGATTAATACAGGAATCTGCGATGTAACGCCTGTTTTCACAGGCTAGTTTTTGTGTCAGTTATAATCGCTTTAAACTAAAGTGATTCCACAGCAAGATTGGAATATGTCGGTGGATCACTTTTTAAAGCCTTGTTTAGATTTTGGAGGAGATTTTAATTCCCACGCCGGGTGGCGGTAATAAACTTTAAAGCTGTGTGACACCCGTTTTCAAATACAGAAGAAGAAACTGATGAAACCTCTGTAGATAGACATTCTCCTTTCCGTTTACAAGGCCAGCAATGGCGTTGCTTTACGGCCTTATTTGGCGCCTTCTTTTAGCTTTAGTCCGCATCAAAAGAGCGACGGTTTCCTGGCTCCGAGTCCGTCTTCGAACATGGAAAGGCCGTTTCTGGCAGCGGACAATGGCTGCGCTGCTGCTGCCGGTTCCTGTGGCTGAGTTCAAGCAGAAGAAGGCCGATGCTAACCAGAGTTCTGACGGTGATGGTGATGGCAAAGGCGCTGGAAGCCGTCGGTCACGTTGGATATCTGACGGGATTTCGCTGGAGAAACTACCGGTCCACATCGGCCTTGTAGTGGCTGAGGAGGAGCTCAGCTTCACGGACATCGCCAACATGGTGGTCTGGTGTATGGCTGTCGGTGTTTCCTACGTCAGCGTCTATGATCATCACGGTAAAAACTTTTGTTTGCCAGGCTTACAGTGTTAGTTTATCATTTCTTTGCGCTGTGTATGCTCTTAGTTTTAGTCATTGACGCTCCCTCAAAAGTTGATTGGTCACACTTTAAACTTTTAGGTCCAGTAGAAAAGGGCCGAAGCATAATTAAAAACGATGTACATTTTCACTAATACTTTTCGCTCACTTCAGACCTGAACGAAGATAAATCTTTTAAGTTTCTGTTATTACCATTTTGTTATGATGATCGTTTTTTTCTGTTAGGAAAAACTCGAAATATGTAAATACATGCAAATAATGAGATGTAAAATGGAGTGCTTGGGATGAGGTCAGTTGACGATAACTAGTATTTCAAAATTTAGAACCATGCTGAACATTTTTATAAAGAAATGTAGATTAATGGAAAACCGTTTGAATTGAGCAAACCACAGAAGGATTTCAGTCACTTGAATGATTCAGGAAATGTAATATTTCTGAATGCTTGCCCAGTAAGAAGCAAAACCTCAATTACTTCCATTCTCAGTGAAATTACGTTTTGACTTGCATGTTTTTCATCAGGTATTTTCCAGAAGAACAACTCTTCTCTTCAGGAGGAGATAGTGAAACAACAGCACAACCTGTTGGGTGGAGATGACTCTGCATTCAACATGGAGTTACTGAGAAACGGCACAGACAAACCCCAACACTTTGGTAAGAATTTAAAACAGAACCTCAGTTGGGACTTTTAGGTATTTAAAAAAAAAAACTTTTATCTGAATGTTATTTTGCTTGTTTTACACTTTGAAAAATTAATATCTTGATAGATTGATGCTAAATCTTCTCTTCACATTCATCACTACCTCCACCCATGATTGTGAGGAGGCCTCCCTCTTTCAAGGAATAATTATATAAGCCGAGTGTTAATTAATTCAAAAAGGCCTTGTTATATTGTCCAGATAACTGGAGTATTACAGTTTTATCAGATTTTTCAGATATTTTTCCTCCTAATGAAAGGCCGTAGTAATTTCTTTTGGTTGTGTAAGGATCCGGTTTGCTTACAACACCAGTAGATTGTGCTTTACATAGCTGAAAAAGCAGTAAGTGGCTTGCTTTAATGTACTCATAATACTTTCTATTAAAAAATACGATAGATCCCTTTATACTTCATGTGTTAGAAAGTCATCTAAATTAGTTTTCAGGTCCTGAGAATGTTGAAATGATGTCTCCAAATTTTTTCACTGCTGATTCTTGTACTTTGACTCTGGATGTTTGTCAGTTGTGTCCTGTAGACCCATAGTGAAGGTGCTGTCTCCAGAGGATGGAAAACACAGTATTGTCCAGGCAGCAAGAAAACTTTGTCACTCTGTGGAGAAGAAGGAATGGAGCTCTAAAGACATCAGCGTCTCCGTGTTGGATGTACTTCTCAGAGGTATGACTCGTATGCATCAGTACATTAATAAATGCTTAACACGGGTTTCTGCTGTGCATTATTCTTGCAGTTGTCTGCATTTATTATCAAAAATAAGATTGAAAAGATAAAGACATAAAAGAAACACTCCTCAAAAAGTCTGGAAAGGGATTATTCCCTCTTAGATTTAGAAGTTTTTATAAACTTATTACTATTACGGTTTGAAAGATGTATTTCCTGTTAGTATTAGGCATACCTTTAACAAACACATGTGCATTAGCAATATTATCTTACCTTTAATTTGAAATAAAAAAATCCATAATATTTATTTCCTTTAGATATTTTGATATATGAAGGATATGTGTTGTTTCAGGCCTTTTCCTTCTTGGTAGTTCTAGAACTTTAGATGAACAGGCACATTTGATGTCTTACAGTGGGTCTGTTTTTTAGAGACCTGGTGAACACCTGTTGGTTCAGTTTGTTCGAGTTTGTTCAGTTTCATCATGTAGTGTTATCCAACCTTCCTCAAACTGTGACATTTAATACATATGCCTTGTGTTTTATTTATTTTTTCAGAATCAAAAAATATCCCAGACCCTGAGTTGGTGGTGAAGTTTGGTGCTGTGAACAGCACTCTGGGTTTCCTCCCCTGGCACATCAGACTCACAGAGTTTGTGTAAGCTGCTGTCTGTCCTTCAGCCTCATCACACAAAATGTAGCGGTGCATACACTCCTGATCAAAATGTTAAGATCAGTTGAAAAATGGCAAGAATTAACATTTTACACTGGTGGATCTTAAAGTTGGACTATGTAACTTTTACAAAAAATATATTGTTTTACATATTTATTAAAACTGTCACTCTGTCATTACAGTATGCTATGAGACAGATAATCTGTGAAATTCGTGAGCTCCACTTCCTTCTAGTGCTAACTAGAAACAACCAATCAGAGCCAGGAGGCGGGTCTTAGTACTTGTCAATCACAGTCTGCTTCTCCTTCTGCTTCCTCCCCTTTTTCTCTGCTGCTGTTACAATTTTTCCCCATCACCAGATCCTATTGTGAATGCTAGGCTAGTTAGCATGACTATTGATGACTGGCATGTGGTTTTCTTGCAACACTAAGTTGTTTCTCCGCCATTATCACAGTTAGCAGCCAGTATGTAACGTTGAGTGACAGCACTAAGACCCGCCTCCTGGCTCTGGTTCAGTGGCAGTTTCTGATATGGGCAACCACCCAGGGTGGCATCTTGTGAGGGGCGGCATGAATACTACTCAGCTGTGTCCTTGATATCTTCAGTTCTTATTTGTTTTTATCGTCTGATCTATGTTTTTTGTTCCCATCAGTTCCCTGCCCTCCCACAAAAACGTTTTGTATGAAGACCTGTTTGGTGCCCTGCAGCATTACAGTGCCTGTCACCAGCGGCTCGGACAATGACCTGCAGATTGTTCTGCTCTTCAGAGAGGAGCACGGATCAAGTCTAACATGTTTGTTCAGAGGCTGGATTGGAGGTGACATCCTTCCTGTGTACCATGACCACACCTGTCCTTTCTTCTGGACTAAAAACTTTCAAGATGGCTAAAAGATGAAGGAATCAGGAATGATGAGCAGCTCGTCTTCTGCCACTAATTCGTGTTTCATGATGAAATCACTTTCCAGTATACTGCAAATCAGAGGAAGAAGGCTGAACAGAGATGAACACTGACCTATAAGGACTAACTCCACTGACTGTTTTGCAATATCAACTCCGTCTCCCCAGCCTCTGTGAGTTCTGTGGATATCATTTCCACAGAAAAGAAATGGATACAGAGAAAACTATTACATTAGTCGTCACTTGGCATCTTGTTAAATCCAACCATTATTTTTGGATGGATTTTCAATACTGACAATAAATGGACAGAAGGTTAGCTTTGAGTGAGAAACCTCAGCAGTCTGTTGGTCTATTTGTTCTGTTATCCAATTCAAAATTGTCACTTTCCATTCGTGTTTTAGAAACTGACAAATGTTTCAGTTTGCCTGAAATAAAAAAAAGAATGCACAGTCATTTTGGTGACTGACCCAGAAAAAAATGAAACTTTCTTCTTTGAAAGGAAAATTCTCACTCCATTGTCAGCATGCTGTTTGCATCTCAAGTACATGTTAGATATTTGCAGGTGAAGATCTGTAAAATAAGATGTAAACGATGTGTGAAGCACATGTTATTGGGCCCTGATAGTGTCACAGTGGATCCCCTGATATTTGCAAGACTCAGGACAACAACCAACTGAGGGCACCCTCTAAAAACACTTAGAGGAGTCTGTCCAATAGTTCACACACTGATTAGTACATGTAGTGGAAACCTTCTGAGAACTACAGCAGAAGGTAATATCTGCTGTCTTTCTTATCTCTTTTCTTGGAGGTACAGCCAAAGAAAATAAATGCAGCTTCTGGATTGGTTGTTTTGCGAGTGCCAGTTAGTAGTGTGTCTGGGGACATTCTGTCCAGTTCTTCCAGCTTTACAAGCAGCATTTTCCACCAGATACTTTAGATATGCATTGCAAATAAATCCGGATGAATAGACAGGGTTCACTGCATTGACATTTTAATTAATGACAAGCTGGTAACTAATATGCTGGTCCTCTTCTGTTCAAGATACCTAGACACACCAATGGGTAGTGTTTGACTATTTCTATCCAATAAGCAGAAAAACCCTGAACAAAAGACGTACAATAGACAGAAGTGGCACTGAGCAGCATTGAGAAAATCCCACATGATGTTCAGTGTTTGTCACATGACGTCGATAATACAAATTTACATACACAGTCTTCTTGCTCACATTGACAGAGTGGAGTGGTCACATCACAGTGTTGTGGCTCCAGGTAGTGTTTTAGTTCATGATGTCTGATGGAACATTGACTGGAGTTCACATTAGAATGACTCCCTGGTTACTCCAGGTAAGGTTGAACCTTTCTGTGTTCTGAGTGGAGCCACAGCTGGTGTATTGGGTTCAGTAACACCGTCTAAATGTACAGTCCCTCACCATTTGAATTTTTACACTTTGCCTCATTCTAACTATAAACCTTAGTGTATCGTTTTAGGTATTTGATGTGATTGTCCAACACAGAGGGTTGGGATTAGTGCACACAATTGTGTTAAAGGGGCATATTTATGTAAAATTAACTTTATTGAGCTTTATGTCATATTATAATGTTATTACCTCAAAAAATACTTGGAGTATTAGGTATGTATGTATGTTTGAGAAAGCCTTTAGTCTCCTATGGCAACCATTCAGCTGTACAAAACGCCTGGCTGGACCTAGCACCGCCTTCAAGATGAATGCTCCTCCTCAGAGCTGTGGTTTCCACATTTTGGACCTTCCACGTCACAGAGTCCCCCCTACCCCCCGCTACTCCCACTTAGCTCCTTCAGACTAGCAGCAGCAATCAGCAAACACCTGGTGGAACTGTTCATCTACTGAGGTCATTTTAGGATTTATTTCTCATAGCTACACTGGTAAGAACGTTAAAGGGTTAATAGAGGAGCCATGTTGTGATGACTTCCTGAAGGCAGAGTTTCAGAAAGATCAGGAGTCTTTAAAGCAACAGAAACCCAATTTCTAAGTTTTAATATACTTTTAAACTATATAATTCATGCCAAGTTATAAAAGATATTTTTAAAAGATGATTAGAATGTTATTGCAGTCTTTCCCAGTAACAACATGGAAAATAAGAACAAACTTCCCAGGAGGTTTTAAGGTACCAGACTGACAGAAAAACAATCCACTGATCATGGGTTTTATGTGCTATTGTGTCTATAAATCAACAACGGACAGTACGTAGCCTCTGTCTCTCCTTGTCAGCTGTCAGATTTGATAACTTTTTCTTATTATCTTTAATCTACCATGAAGTCCAGACTTAAGGAGTGATGAATAGTTGTCTTGGGCTCTCCAACAGTATGAATCTGTGGTTCCTATAATTGATTAAATAGTGCTCATATTGTTTCAAAACAATCATGTTTTAAACTTCTGCATAACTTTATCTCTAATTTCTCTGCTCTTTCCTTGTCATAATTTTAGTTTTCATTGTTTTGTTAGAAAAAACCTTAAGCACTTACAAAAGCTGCCACTCAAAAACCACTAAGGAGACAGAATGAAGAAGGTAACGGTTTATTTACAAAAATTATAAGGATGATAGTAGATTGAAGGAGATCCAGAGACTCTGGATCTCCATTGTTTAAGAACAGAGGCAATGGGAGGAAGTCAAAATATACTAGACTTACTGTTGAGCTGTTTAGGACAATCACAAGACAGGCAACATCTCTATTGAAGATCCATCACAATGACTGATGGAATCTGGGGAGGGATGGAAAACAAAATAAGCTTCAACCCAACCTAGTAGGCTCAGAATGCAAGGACTGAGCAGAGCTAAGGTGGGCAATAACTGCTGGTGAGACAATACACCAGAGAACTGATGATAGATCATCACAAGGAGAAAAAAATAAGCATTTACACTGCACAATAAAATAACTCAGATCAAACCTACAATATATGCACAACTATATTGAAAAACTGCAAGATTCCAACAGTTCACTACAAGACACTGTTAAAACCTCAACCTAAAAAAAATAACATAGTCATTTAAAGAAAATTGTGATAAAGTATTGGACATCCAAACAAAAAGCATACATGACATTATTTTTTCAGGCACTCCATTTGGCTGTGATAGCTTCCTGGAGGGATGCTGAGATCATACTCCCAACAACTAAACCTTCTCCCTCTCCTGGTATTTACTTTTCATCAACATGGGTAGTACTCTTACATCAGCTCTTCCTTTTCTATTTTTGTATATTTGCTCTGTCTTAGCGTCCCGTCAGTGGCTCGCTGCTCATACTGAGCCAGGTTCTAGTTCTCCTTGGGGTTTGTTCCTGTTAGGCTGGAGTTTTTCCTCTCCATCGTTGCTACATGAATGCTCAGCATGAGCTATAAACTCAATGACACAGCAAGAGCAACTGCCAATGACTTGATGAGATCTGCTGGGTTTGCTAAATTGAATAATAAACTGAGCTTAATACACTGTTTGATAACTAAAGTAAAATAGAGGGTATGTGTGGTTGAATTGACTGAATTTTTGTTTAATTGGATTTTCTGGCCATGGAGTGTAACAAGTTGCAAGTAGTTTACTTAAATCTTTTCATTGACTCTATTAGATGATAGTCATTATAAAACTGCTGCAGATTTAGTTTTGAATCTAATAGAAAATCGGGGGTTTACAAGATTCTTCCCATGTATGGATCAGAAAATCAGGACATATGACCCCAACCATCCATCCTTCATCATTCACGCTTATCCCCAGTGGATGACCCCAACCCTTTTTTGATTTAACTAAATTCTAGAGCAAAGTACACGAAAGACCGTACTGTGTGGTTAAACACTTTAATTCACTTCAATAACCGAAGTTTATATAGAAACTCAGACATTTCAACAGCTGTTTAGCATAATTGTAATTTCTGAAACTTGGATGACTAATGAAAGAGTAATGAACTTTGAAATGGAAAGATATAAATTTATATAAAACAACATGCAGAACAAGGCTGGGTGAAGTGTGGCCATATAGAAACAGAATGTCAAAGGGGTGACTGACAGCCTTTTGAAATGGTTTATGATTCAGATCCCAGATAGCAAAATATGAAAGAATCAATGCTAAAATATTGTCAGGCAATCCATGTTGAAGCCTGACATTGAAACGATATTGAAAGTGGTCGGTGACTTACATGTTGAATCAATGTTAGGATTTCACATAACTGACACTATATCAAAGTTGATTCAACCATCATCTGAATTTGGAATTACATGCATATTTGTGTTGATTTTATATTGAATTAAAGTTAAGGAATCAATATTGATTCATGTTTTGGTCTGATAGGTCTACATCACCACACCTTTAAAAGTTTAAGACATATTATTTACAATTGGTCAACATTTTTGTATTGCTGTATTTATTTATTATTCCATTTTTTTCTTCCGTTACCGTTAATGCGGCTCGTTTATTTATTTATTATTAACGTATTCAGTTGAGCAGATACTGAAATGTTCTTCTGTCGTCCTCAAGAGGGCAGCAGATGAGTGAACGTTCTTTCAGAAGAAGAGGCTGTTGTGCGTTACATCCATCTTCAGAAAAACATCCGCCATCAGCTTGACTGCACCATGGGAGCCGTTCTGGGACTCTGTTCCATGGCTAGCTGGGTGAGAAGCTTTTTGAAATCCAAAAAATACACATCCGAAAGAAATATTTAACTTGTTACAATGATATTCAGTCTCTCCATTATTGTTTATTTTTAAAGAGAACAAACTCGCAGAACAGAAGCCTGACAACAACCATTAACAAGAAAGAAAGGAAAGCAAAACCATTAGGGGAAAAGGCTTTACATCTCTTCCGCCTTTGTGGCTGAACAAACGGTTCTCAACAGAAATCTATTCCAGCGTTGGAGGTTTAGGCCGCAAACTCGCTTTGTTTTGATCGAGTGGTGACGCAGCCTGTAATATTCCGGTGATAAGTGACTGGGTAAAAAGCCTACGCTTAGCTAGCTAAGTGATTCGTTTATTATGTGTACAAGACAGGTGGATGTTATGTTCCACCTGCGCTGTTTAACACATCACCATCTATTTATACACGATAACAAGTAATTTAATAGCCTCACTGTTGCACAACTAGGATCAGAAATACCTCTCCCTTTTTCTGTCCTCAGCTAACCAAGTTTGTTTACGCAGATCCCCTGCCTCTGTGGCAGCGCCCCCTGTCTGTTGTGTCGATGCTGTCCAAGTGGAAATAACTCGACCATGACTCGTCTCATCTACGCCTGCTTCTTGCTGCTGGGAGTGGCTGTTGCCTGCATCATGTTGATGCCTGGCATGGAGGGCCAGCTCAAAAAGGTAATGTGTCACCATAAATAACTGCCTTCAAACTGTTCCTAGCGTATAAAAACATTTGTCAGTGACATATAGTTGGAAAAACAGTTGAATTTTGCTGCTAGAAATGACATTTAGAAAAGATTTAAGAAGGTGGAGTCAAATAGTTATCCCTTGTTTGACAAG